GAGGAGTCCAATTCATGCTTTACAGGTATTTCCATGGTTGCTTGGAAAGAGCACAGCTGCTGGCTGGGATGCTGTACCCTTTCCTTCCCCCTCTGCCATTTCTCAGCCTCTTAAGCAAGGCGATTTTCTTCAAAACAGGCTGAGACTTGATGTATGATGTGATGCCATTACAGTCTCTTGCTAGCCAGCTCTTCCCAATTTGTGGAGTCAATGCCTCCCTTCTAAAGATATACTTTCATGGTGTCCTTGTAGCATTGCCTCTGTCCCCCATGGATCTCTTACCATGATTAAGTGGAAAAAAAGAGGACTTGCTTCAGAAGATGAATCTCAGCCATCTGCACACAATGACCAGTCCAGGGAGGTTGATATTTCATAATCTTTGCCTCAACACTGGTGATGTTAGCTGCAGAGAGAATGCTGGCATTGGTGTGATGGTCTTCCCATCTGATATGGATAATCTTCCTAAGACAGTGCTGTTGGTACCACTCCAGATGCTTAAGATGGCTTTGGTACGTCACCCATGTCTCGCACCCATAAAGAAGAGTGGGGATGAGTACTGCATTGTTGACCCGGACCTTAGTTTCCATCCGCAGATCTCTGTCAATGAAGACACGATGGAGCAACTTTCTGAAGGATATACTGGCACAACGGATCCTATGTTCAATCTCCAGATCAAGATTGGCTGTCTGGTAGAGGTGTCTACCAGGCTAAGTGAAATGCTCAATGTTTTCCAGGGGTTCACCACCGATGACAATTTGAGGGAGAATGGGGCCACGCTCGTGGAGCACCTTAGACTTCCCAATGTTGAGGGAAAGTCCCAGTTTATGATCGGCACCTGAGAAGAGATCTAGGGTAGACTGCAAGTCAGCCTCAGTGTGTGTTTAAGGATAGCACAGTTATCAGCATACTGAAGGCCATTAATAACTAGTGAGCTGTAGCTCATGAAAGCTTATGCTCAAATAAATGTGTTAGTCTCTAAGGTACCACAAGTACTCCTTTTTCTTTCTGGAGGCTAATTAGTGCATCAGGAGAAGCTGATTAAGGGTAATGAACTCAATTGGCCCATCAGTCCAGGGCTGATGAAAGGCACAGGAAGGAAGTGTAAAGGGGAGAATGCTGATCTTGCTGAGAAGGCTTAAACCCTTGCAAACACTGTAAATAGGTGGGAGCATGGGGGACTGTGGTTATATTGGTGAAGGGGACTGGAAATGAAGCTTTACTCAGAAGCACACTTGGAGGACTCTGGGTAGTTTCTGCTGGTAAGAAGATGGGGTGGAGCAGGGCCCTCGTGACCATTATCAAATTCTACTGTGAGTTCCTTTATTAAAACATATGATTTTCAAGCTTACAGTTAAAGAAGCCTGCACATAAGTTTATGCAGGATTGGGGAATTTCTTAAAGATAAAATTTGTTTTGTAATAAAAGAAAAATCTTACATATTACTGGAAGACCAAACCACTATTGCATGTAATAGACATGACCTAATATTTCAGATATGTAGAGGTAACTCAGTGGTTGCAGTACCACTATGCAAACTAAAGCCTCTATCCAGAAAAAAAAAATTAAACTAGTGCTTAACTTTGTGATACAGATATTCCTATTAATAGCAATGTCATGTAAGTCTAGGTAGTCAAAAACATATATCTATGTTTAGTAAAAACTTCAGTAGAAATTTTGGTTTGGGGAGATATTTCAAATTAGGTAGTATGGGGCCCTTCATGAATTTCAGGAGTAAGTTCAACACACAAGTGGTGACATGGAAAAGCATTAAGTTGGTGGAGAAAAGCGAAATAACAGTTTGAGAAAGGTAGCTCTCCTAGGTGGATCAAAGAGAATGAGGAAAAAGTCTTATGACAATCCAGAAAAAACGGATAGCATTGAAGTTATACAGTAGAACCTCAGAGATACAAACACTAGAGTTACGAATTGACCAATCACCACCCACCTCATTTGGAACTGGAAGTACCGGATACAATCAGGCCGCAGCAGAGACAAAAAGAAAGCAGGTACAGTACAGTACTGTGTTAAACATAAACTACTAAAAAATAAATGCAGCATTTTTCTTCTGCATAGTAAAATTTCAAAGCTTTATTAAGTCAGTGTTCAGTTGTAAACTTTTGAAAGAAAAGCCAGAATGTTTTGTTGAGAGTTAAGAACAACCTGCATTCCTGAGGTTCTGCTGTATAATGACAAAGAATAAACTTGTGCTGTACAAAAGAAAATAAATATAAAATTGTAAACTAAAATCACAATAAGAACATGGGAAATTTTACATCAGAAAACACTTGGAGAGGTGACTGCTTAACTACGAGCATTATTATTTTCTGTGATTATTTGCTATTAACCCCATAAATTAAGTAACATAACAACATCCATCTGTACAATGTTAACCAAGATATATGATAGTGTGCTAAGGACAATAAGTAAAAAATACTGCTTTTTAAATAAATGCATTTTAGGAGTGAACCTATGTTTTGAGCAGAGTGACAAGGAACAGTCAGGCAATCAGAACAGCAACCATGACACTTGTGAACAGATATGACATATTACACCTATGTAAACTAACGGAATTCTTTTAAATGCCAAAAAATGAATGATTTTTTTGTGTGTGTTCAGTATTGCTAACTCCCCAAACCTTCAAAAAAAGAGTCTGGTTCCCAAAAATCATGAGATTTGTTTAAAAAAAAATTTTTTTTTTAAATGTTGGGTTCTTTTAAATCTACCTTCAGGCTGTTGAGCACTTATAGGGTGCACTTGCTTCACATTTCAAGCTTTTCTCTAAAAGCATGAGGACTAGAAACTTAATATTTTAAATGAAGGCTGTGCTCTCCTGTAATATGATTCCTGGAGCTAGGGTTGTTAAAAAGTGCAAGAGCTGGAGAGCCTAAATATTGTACTGAGCCAAGTCTCCTTTGGCGGGTCATTGCATCGTTTCAGATAATGAGCTGCTTTCTGTAGGCACAGAGCTACCCTCTGCCTTCCCCTCTGGGAAGGGGAGGCTGAGATCAGCCAACCAGGAACTCAACCTCTGTGCTGCCCTTGCCCTATTCTGGCCATCAATGTAATCTGCTCACCCCATGGTTGGTAACTTTTCTCCCCTCGACCCCCTCCTTATCCCCCAGCTTCTGCCACTCCTCCTGCAGTCCATCGCCTCCTTTCTCAGCCTCATCTCCTGCACTGTCCCCAGGGCCCCATTAACCTTTTGTGGGCCTGGCGCCAAACTTATTTGTGGGCCCCCAGGGGAGCAATGGAGCTGAGACTGGCCAGGCTTCTGCACCAGTCCCAGGCGCCTCAGCTCAGGGGAGACAGGTGGGGCCCCCCAGGTGGTGGGAAGCAGAGACTGCCTGGAGCCGGAATTGCACTGGGGTCTGGCCGGGGGCAGAGACGAGCAGGGGAGGGGGCTGAGGAGGCAGCAAGCGCGCAGGCCAAGAGGAGCAAGTGGTGGGTGGGGGAATCCAGCGGGGTATGGGGCCGCAGTGCAAGCGGAGCAGGCCAGGGCCCCGTCTGAGCATGTGCCCGGCTCCATGGAGCCCCTGTAAACCGGGGACTGACGTCCCTGAGTCTGCCCATCTGGCTCCCTCCCTCCATGTCTCTGACCCTCCTCTGGGCATGCTTTGTCCCCCCGCACAAGCGCTGCCCGCGCCGCCGCTGTGATTCCCGCCCGCTGTCTGAGGAAGGCGGTTCTGAGGACAAGGATGCCCAGGTAGGGCGCCCCCCCCCCCCCCCCGCCACCACTTCAGGCGAGGCTACTGAGCATGCTCGGCAACAGCCCAGTACCAAATCCGGCTGCTCGCCCCCCAGAGCCGTGCTGCGGCGCCACAGCCCCAGCGCGAGGCAGCGCGAGCGCTGCAGCCCCTCCGTGCGCTGTGCTCGCCCGGTACCAGCCAGCGCCGCTCCAGCTGCCCCGCCACTGCAAGTGCCCCCGCCGCCCCTGCTTCCAGCTAGGCGGGCTCCAGATGTTCGGTCTAACAGCGGAACGGACCTCTTGCGTTCAGCCCATTCGCCTTTGGGCGGCAGCCTCCTTCCCGCCGCTGCAAGCCCCTTCTTGAATCGCTCTGCGCGTCGCTGCCGCTCGGTGCAGATGGAGATTTCCGTGCAAGCGCCTTTCAGCAGCGGCAATAACAAGCACCGATAGATTACCCCCCATTCCCCCCAGTTTGGGGGTGATTGTATGACTGTGGGAGGTGCGGTTCCTCCTCCTGGCACGGGGAGAGGGGGTAAGTTGTTTTCGCCTCTGCAGTTATTTACAACGTCACCGTTTGGGTCACACCATCCGCTTGGAGCTGAAGAGACCAAAGTTACAAGGTAAATGCCCTCCTCCCTGCGTCTGCACCACTTTACCTGGGGCAGCCTGGCTCTGGCCGGCTTCTATTGTGTGGCTGTTTATTGCAGAGCTCGTTGCATTGTTCTTGTCACTGAATGCCTTTGATTGCCCACCTCTCACGGCCTTTTCTTGCAGGGCTCTTCCCTGAATGTTACTGCACTGCCTTGCACTGTGTTGCTCTTTGATTTCCCACCGTGCGGCTCTGGTTGCGCCATTGCCCCGATCCTATAGCTCTGTTGCATCGCCCTGGTTGCCCGGCTTTGCCGGGGTCCCGGTGCGTGCTCTCCCGTGCAGAGCCGCGGAGCATGCCCGGGATAGCTTCCGGGCGGCAGACCCGCAGTCTCAATAGGAGCAGCATCTCCTGCGAGCTAGAGATGGTGCCACTGCTGCAAGCCCGCCCGCCGCCCCACCTGCGCGGGTCCCTGGCTGCGGCTCCCATCCGCGTGGGCTCTTTTCATTGTCGGTGTCACCCTGTAGGCTGGGAGCGCCCGCGCCGCCGGAGAGTCACGCAGGGGCGAAGCTCAGCCACCCCCCGGCGAGCCTGGCGTGGCGTGAAGCCGCCCGCAGCCGCTTATGCAACACATCATCGATAACCACCCGGACATGGCTACTGCTCTGCTGGCGGGCGAGAAGCTGAAGGAGCTGATCCTGCCCGGGCAGCAGGACGACAAGGCCGGCTCGCTGGCGGCGCTGCTGCTGCAGCTCAAGCTCGAGCTGCCCTTCGACCGCGTGGTCACCATCGGCACCGTCCTCATCCCCATTCTGCTCGTCACCCTGGTCTTCACCAAGAACTTCGCCGGTAAGGGCAGCAGGGCGCCCACCCCCACCATGATCCCGCTCCGCACGTCAGCCCACCCGGGGAGGGGGGCGAGCTAGAGCGCGGGTGGGCGAACCCGGGAGGGAGAGGGAAGGGGCAGCAGATGGCGAGATCATTGTGCAGCTTTCTCTGTGGATAGCGGGCCTACAGATCGGTAGCGCTCTGCGGACAGATAAAGCTCTACAGGGGAACAAATAGGTTGCCTACACTCCAGGGTTATCCTGGAAATTAAAGATTAATCTTTAATTAAAGGTTATGTCAGGTGGTGAAACCTCCAGGAATACCTCCAACCAAACTTGGCAACCCCCAAGGGAGAAAGATGCAGGGCCCAGTTCCACTCTTCTTATTCCCGCAGCCTCCTTTAAACCAATAGGACTGCAAGCCCTAGCCTGTGTTTGCAGAGCAGTTTCCACAATATGCATCCGATGAAGTGAGCTGTAGCTCAGGAAAGCTTATGCTCAAATAAATTGGTTAGTCTCTAAGGTGCCACAAGTCCTCCTTTTCTTTTTGCGAATACAGACTAACACGGCTGCTACTCTGAAACCATTCTTCTGATCAGTTACTCCTCTGCTCTCAGGGGAACTTGCTGGAGTTGAAGGGAGTTTACTCTATGCTATGATGCCGCAGGTGGACCCAAGCGTAAACATGAGCTGGGGCAGCCACTTTAGTGTGTTTTGTGTATTTGTTAAACAGAAGCTATGCTGATCTACCAAAAATGACTTTTAAACATATCTTTATTATGCAAATTTACTAGTGGATTGGGTGCATGTTTAACTGCACTGTTAGGTGAACAGTAGTAATTTTATACATATATACTACATCCATATTGTGGTAGGCCCTATTGTGATTATGAAAATAACTACTATTTGCCCACTAGGTTGTTACTGTCTATTGTGAAAACCTGTATTCAGATGCTTGTAAACATTTTATTTTCAACTACATTGCTCGTAGCATCCCCTTCAGAGCCTTTATGGTCTATGAAATCAATCCTTCACACTGAACTTTGAAAACTGGGAACTCATAAGTTGTTATGGGTCTTTTGAAGTCATTAGTCTCTCAAGTAAATGTATCTTAGGTTGTGAAATATGGACTTGATGAATGGAGCTTTTAAGCCTTTTTTTGTATTAATCTGACCACTGCACAAGTGATCTAAGGCTGCATGCTCAAATCAATATTAAATTTGTATTTCAAAAATGTGGGAACTGATTGTGCAGTCTGCAGCTAGTAGCATTAGTAGGTAGTGTTGACTTCAAGTTTTGTCAGATAAGCATGACAAAATCAGGCCTGTATTGTGCATGCATTGGGGCTTACTTTTACAACTCTATATTCTATTTGGTTCCATTATTAAATATTCATAAACCATATGAAGGCTTTACTATTTGACAAATTATTTTTTTTAAAAGAAAGACATTTTTGATGTTACAAATGAAAGCAATTTTAAACCAGTTACTTTAAAAAATATATATTTATAGCCCAAGATTTTTATACATGAATAGTGATATTTAGTGCCTTAGTTTTTGGATGCCCAACCTGAGACACCTTGAAGGGGCCTCATTTTCAGAATGTGCTGAGTGCTAATCCTGTGAAAATTAGCCCCCTTTAAGGTCACTCATATTGAGAAAGCAAAATCGCTAGTGATTTTTGAAAATCATCACCACAGAATGTAAGGGTTTAGACTTTTCTCTTCCTCTGCTTGGTGTGGAGGCAAGCAAAATAGGGCAGAACCCCAACCAGCCCTGTAGAAGGGGGAACCCTATTTGTAGCATGCTCCTCCTGTACTGCGAGTGCCCTTCTGTGTGACATCTGGAGGCTTTGTGGGTCTTTAGAGATAACTTTCTGAGGGAGAGGGAGGGGAAGGAGTTTGATAATTTCCCTCTGGATAATGTGGATTTCCCAGTAGAATCTATCCATGACTTAACTGGTGAAAGGAGTAGGAACTTACCTCCGTGTCTACAGTCCTTTCAGAGAAAGAATTCCAAAGGGAACCATGTGATTAAGGGAGGGGAGGCTCAGAGATTGTCAGACTGGATGTCACTATGCAAGGATAAACAAACAAGTGCATGTGGATCTAGCGGATCTGCTGATTTTACTGACATAAATCCTTCATTTTCCCTTTTGGCTTAAACTGCACTCCCTGCGGGGGAAAATCTGCCTTTAACTCAGCAGTTTGAGGAACATATTTTATCCTTGGAAAGATTTATATGTGCAAGGGGCAGTCTGTATCCTTAAGAGTCAAACAACTTTTTCAGATAGACCAAAAACAAAATCATTTGAGTCTAGACACAGAGTCTATATGATAAGTTCACCTTGGGATCACAAAGCTGTAGCTTATGCTAAATGCAGTTTTTGCAGTGTTGATGTAGCCATGTCGATGCCAGGATATGAATGAGGTAATCTTTTATTGCACCAACTTCCTTTGGTGGGCGGTACGGCTTTCAAGCTACGCAGGGCTCTGTTTAGCTTGAAAGCCTGTACCTTCTACCAGAAGAAGTTGGTCCAAAGAAAGATAAAAGCATAGACAGAACAAACCTCACCTTTCAGGACAAAGGACACCATTATACTGTACTGGAAAAATGGGCCACATTTTGCTCTCCAGTGATGTCACTGGGTTGCTCAGATGCTCCAAAACTCAGAAAAACAAAACATAAAAAGGGGGGTGGGAAATAAAAGACACTCTGGATGAAAAAAAAAATAGAGTGGATAATAAAACTATAATGTAAGCTCAGCATGGACTTGGTGTAACAAAATTGTCTTCTTTTTGGGAGCTAACAACTCAGGATCAGAGCTTCTAATTACTAAGGACTCAGTCCTGCTCCCATTGAAATCAGTAGCAAAACTTCCATTCATTTTAATAGGAGCAGGAGTAGACCCTAGTTTTTTTAATTACCAAAGCTCTATTTACTGAGACTTCTTAGTGAAATTACACTTGTTCAGAGAGATTGTACATTGTATTTACTAATGACGTTAGTCCTGCTACACTGCGTTCACTAATTATGTTAGTCCTGCTGAATACATGCCTTATTGCTAAGTGATATTTATTAGCACATACCCCGCTTTTTGATGCTCGTATTATGGTTTACCTATGTACTGTCACTATCGTTTTCAAAGTCTAGCTATGCTCTTTGCTTTGGATTCTGCTGCATACCTTCTGGCAAATTAGATAGTAGATACAGAAAATGCAAACTCTGCTGGCAAAAAAGGGGTGTTTTTTTATTGTATCTTTATCGCAAATACCATGGCAGCTTCCCAAATGCTGCTTTGTGCCCTTGAATGCAGAAGTTATTGTGTCAGAATAAACAATAAGAATTGATACTACTTATGAATTCTAATTCCCGGAAATAGTAATATCCATGAAAAGCCATTTAAAGCCAGTGTAATCTTCCTAAATAAAAAGAAACCTATGGGCAGATCTCTCCAGGCTCATGCAACCAGTACTTGTAAAACACTTTAGTGCTGTGTATGTAAATACGGGTGTTATACAAGTATGGTGAGCTCAGAACAATGGTTTCTTGCAACATATCTTGCTTAGTGTAGGAAGGGTCTGTATGACTAATATGTGGAGTGCAGTTGAGCCCCTCATATCCCTTCTCTACCCCAATACTTACGCGTGCAGGACCAAGCAGGGAGTCAACAGTGTCTGTGCAGTCCAGTGGAGCATGTGGAATGCATGTGGAGTGCAGTTGAGCCCCTCATATCCCCCTCATAGCCCCTCATATCCCTTCTCTACCCCAATACTTAGGCGTGCAGGACCAAGCAGGGAGTCAACAGTGTCTGTGCAGTCCAGTGGAGCATGTGGAATAGCATCCACTTGATTGGACAGCTTGCTTGTGCTGTACAAGTGACTTGCAAAAGGGAATGCCCCAAGAGAAAACTTGAGTTTCCCAGCATTAGCCCATGCCTCGTTGGCCTAGAAAGTGAATACAGAAAAGCACAATTATACTTTAGATAACCAGACAAACAAAAAATGTCATGACAGAGACAATTATTTAAAAGGCAATAATCCATCTCCAGTCTTAAAGGTTATTATCTCTGTAGCATGATTTAATGTGTACTGTACTTTCCTGATGGGTAAAGTAAAGAGAAAGTTAGTTTATGATGTTACTACTGTGTATATTTCATAAACCAAATGTTTAAGTTAACATAACTTTCTCTTTGTTTATCTAGGCAGTTTATTCCACACAGATTGCCCTGGTACCCGAGTGCTTTTATCTTTACATCACCACTGAGAAATTAAGAATATGATTTACTGTTTTAATAATTATATTGGCACATAAAGAAGGATTTAGTAGTTCACCAGGCACTGAACTAAGTCTTATGTTAATTCCATGATAAGACCACAGTTTAGGTGAGCTTCATATTTTATGTGTTGCTTTAAATATGGAAGAACCTTCCTTCCATCAGAGGTACCTTTGCTGTCACTCTTTATGAACTTTTATTCCTGACTTTGTGTCAAAGACAGACTGTCATCTCAGTTCATGTTTGCCAGATGTAAGAAACTGGATATAAACAAAATCTATTGAGAGCTAAAATAATTTCCTCCCCAAACTTCACTGCTAGATGGGAATGCATTTTGGGTGAAATTCACCTCTGTGCAGAGGGACACCATGAGGCTTCTCTACACTGTAAGCCCAATATGATTTTGAGAGTGAAATCCTGACCACATTGAAGTCAATGGTAGTTTTGCTCTTGACTTTGCTGGGGCCAGGATTTCACTCTGAGGTCATAAGTTAAGGCTTACATGGTGCATACCATAGTCCTTGTGCTGACCTTCTGCAAAGAGGTCAAATTCACCCTTTGCTTATGCTCTTCAGGACATCTTTCAGGAGACACCTGTGGACACTTGCTCACATATAGTCCCTTTTACAGTGTTGTTACTGAACTTGCCAGTTTTTTAATGTTTTTGAAATAAAATAGCATGATTCCTAGAAAGCAAGCTCTCCAGAGGGTGAGTCAACAGCTGTGCATAGCATGTTTATAGTTGGCACACAGTAACCGCAGTGGGGGTACAAAGGCCTCCAAGAAAGATACTTGGCTATTACGCTACCAAAAAAATCTGGGCACTTGAGAGAGAGAGTCCAAAGGACTGGCATGAGCCCTCTCCTCATCTCTGACCCTCACACTCCAGCCCTAGAAAAATTGCATCTCACACAGAGCCTGATTCTGCTGCCATTGGAAATCAATGGGCATTTTGCCTTTAATGGGAGCAGAATTGGCCTATAATTCTTTGACTGAATGGGTTCAGATTTGAATTTAAGTTGAACCCAAGATTTGTTTTCTAAAATTTCAGGGCTTAGAGCCTTGTTTACAAGGATTCATACAACAGCCAAGTCTTGAGGAGTCGGCTCCTGTGGTGTTGGAGGTAATACACAGAGGATAACAAGTCCACATGCACACAGCTGGTAGGCCCAGAGGAATTTACTTGTTTTTATTCTGTGTTTTCCTTCAGGAATTACTGTCTGAAACTTAAGGACAACAAAAGGATGATTTTTTTTAATTGAAGATGAAAGCTACCATCTGTGCATGTTTGGACTCTTTCCTTTATTGTCAAAGCTATTTGTATTTCTGTTAAAATACTGTTAAAATACCCTATTCATGTTAATAAGAGAGTTTAATACACGGGTTTCCAGCGCACAGTCAACTTCATATACATCTCCTTGCATGGTACATGTTCGTACATGACCCTTCGAAGGGTCAGAAGCCCTTCTGTTTTTCCTTAACATTTCATACCCACAGGCCTGATTCTTTGCTGTCTGGCACCTTGTTATATGTTCATGGCATACACACAGAGAAGTTAGATAAAAACATAAATACCCTTGCTGCAGGGTGGGAATGTAACACCACTTTTATTTCCTAAAATTCAGGAATAACACACAAGAATCCAAAAATAGAAAGCAGGTTGTCCCCCAAAACAGGTGTGTGAATGGAGGGAACGTACCCCCACTTTGTACAGATGGAAATGACTATACAAGGTGCCAAACAGCCTAGAAACAGGCTGTGAGACTATAATTTTATGGTGTCACTTGTGCAATTTATACACTCTTTATTGATGGCCTTCCATATGTGAAATGTCAGAGCCCACTGGATTAGTATGTTCATATTACTAGGGGGTATTCAATTTTTCTTTTTAAAGTGACAATTTCAATGTTTTCTTATTGAACCAGAATTTTATTGCTCCTACCTTTGCATCCTTCTTGGAAGAATATGTAAAGAAATAATAAGCCACCACGAAATTCCATTTAATGACACATTAGTACTGTAACCACAGGACAGACATGCAGTTCTAATCCAGAATCAAACCCAAATCCACTCTACCCCAAAGTTCAGCAGTTGTTTTGCATTTGATGTTTCTGTTTCTCCCATTCTAGAGACAGGTCAGAGCTGTGAAGTTTGGATCTCGATCTAAAGGGTCCCAAATGTTTGGATGCGCTACAGGCACATTACCGTATATAGGTCCCTTTTACAATGTCTAGAATTGAAGTGTTGGAAGCTTGAATTATACATACAACATTAAATCTGACTCTGAAGTGCATCATTTTGTGTCCAACGCTGTTTTAACTCTCCCTTCAGTTCCACCTGTCTTTAGCCATGAAACCCATGGACCTGGACCTCACCCACAAATAGGTCATCCGAGGTAGAAATGTACATGCCCAGAGGACAGTCTGTGCAGAATGCTTTTCTTCATTGGCAGGTGCTGAAGTTGTTTGTTCTGTGGGTAGCTGCAATATGATTGTCAGGACAGTGATTCTGCAGTTAGAGTAGAGGCTACTTATGGTGTTGTTGCCTCATCCTCCCAGACACCAAGTTCTTCAGCCTACCTTAGATTAGGAGGAATTTGGTCCTTGCTCTTAGCTGCTTAGTTTGTGTGTATTGTTTTATTTTCCTAAGTGGTTTCAATATTATAAAGAAAAGTTCTCCATTGAACAGGTCAGGCCCGGTGCTGGGCTGCTTACTCAGACAAAGCTCTCATTGATGTCCATGGGAGATTTTCTGAGTAAGGAGCTGAAACGCAGGCTCCAAAGGAAATGAATGAATTGTTGCGTTCCATTTTAAATGTCGAGGTGTTGAAATGTTTGATTTCTGATCTATCAAAAGCTTTAGGGTTAATGATGGAGTCCAAGAATTGCCAAATCACATTAATTTTCTTATAATGTACGCTATCCAGTGCTTTCCAGTCGCAGTCAATGATAATTTTCATATCACAGTCAACTATCACATGTTCCTTTTTCCCCTCAAAAGCTGCTAAATACTTCTAATAAAGCAGAACATTGGCAGCCAGTTGATTTACGTTTTGGTCAAAAAGCCAAGCTCTGGTGTTGGCCTTTTGATTAAATTTATAAATTAATGCCTTCAATACCAAACATTGCTCACAAATACTGTATTTCTATATCTCTTAGCAGTTACCTAGCTCAGCCCTCTACCACCCTTCTGCTAGAAAATTCTCATGAGGAAGTAATGGAAGGAGACAGTAAGTTAAATGACTGATGAGTCAGTTCAAGTTTTATGTTTTAATTCCTGATATGTAATCATTTCTGCATAAATGATGTTTATTTCACTGTGTAGTACAGTTTCTACATGAGTTCAATGTCTCTTGATGCATTTCATTATCTACAGTACATTTTAAATTGTGTTTGTTGAGGATTTATTTAATACACAATAAGGTTCTCTTTTTTGGTATCTCTGATCAACTTTTCTTACTAATATTCTTGTTTCAAGATGTGGGCAGGGTTTGTTACACATACTCAAGTCATCTGACATATGCATATAGTGGCTTTTAATTTTAAGTGTTTATTTTCAAAATTTTCTCTGGTTGCACCTAGAGCAGCATATAGCAGTAAAGTGCAAAAGACTTTTTTATTACTACTGCTAAGAGTACAGGGCCAGATTCTGTCTTGGTTACATGAAAGCATAACTAAGGGCAGAAATTTGTGCATAGGTGCAAAGGACTTGCACAAGTGTTTTGGCCCCACTTCTACTTATAACAGACTCATAGGCCCTGATTCAGCAAATAGGATGAAAGGAGTAGCAATGGGCTTAAGCACATGCTTACATGTTTTGTAGAATCAGGGCCTTACACAGGGTATAAATGGTACATAGAGTCTTTTGCAGGCTCTCTGCACTGGGGGGAATTTCACCTAAAGGTTAAAGATAGTTCATAGATAAATAGGGACCTACCAAATTCGTGGTCCATTTTGATCAATTTCATGGCCAGAGGGTTTTAAAATTGGTCAGTTCCATGTTTTCAGATGTTTACATCTGTAATTTCACACTGTTGTAACCGTGGGGGTACTAACCCAAAAGAGGATCACGGGGGGTCACAAAGCTGATGTAGGGGTGTTGTGGGATTGCCACCCTCACTTCTGTGCTGCCTTCAGAGCTGGGCTCCGAAGGCAGCAGCCATGGAACTTCCCTCAGCTGGCGAAGATTCAGGAGGTGGAGGTGGGTCTGATCTCCCCCGTGCTGCTGGGAGCCTTCAGAGCTGGCAGCAGCCACGGAGCTTCCTGTAGTCAGGGAAAGTACCTGGAGGTGGGTCTGAGCTCTCCCCAAGAGTGGCCATGCAGGGGAAGAGGAAGTCCCGTCCCTCCTCAGCCCCGCCAGGACCAGCAGTTGGAGCCACGCTGGGGTGTCCCCAGCCCTGCCCCTCCAATAGCTAGATTTCACAGGGGAGATCTGATTTCCCGGTTCATGATGTGTTTTTCATGGCCATGAATTTGGCAGGGCCTTACAAATAAAGGATAGACGCAAGCTGGCCTGTCGTCAGGGGCAATTTGACCACTTTTGGGGTGGCATTTCTGTGCCAGAGCCGGAGGAGCTCGCTCTCGCCCCTGCAGTCCCAGGGCTGGAGGAGCTTTGTACCTCTGCCAGTTATTGGGGCAAGGGTGTCCATGCCCCTGCTTTCTCCCCCCTTGCAAGCCCCCCTGCCTGTCATGAGCTTAACTCAAGAGGAAAGGTATAGTTATCCAGTAGAGTTGTTTACTACAGTCAAAAACAATTCTGAGGAATAGTGTGAAGATTACATACAGTATTTCTGGAAGCGACATTCAGTTATCTGTCCAGGCTTCCAGTTCTCAGAAAATGGATGGAGACATAAGCATCCTATTCTTCTCATGGGATCTCTGTGTGGGTGACCCTGTCTATATTAGTGACAGCTTCATCTTCATGTGTCAGATGCATGCGATTGAGGACTGAAGTGTGAATAAGGTGAAGTTTAACATGCACTTACAGACAGCTGAAGGAATTCACACTGACCTAAGCTATCTGTTTTGTTAGATGCTACCTTACTCAGTAGTCTTATTCAAGAGGAAAACATGTGGATAAGTAATATTGAGGGTATGACTGAAGTTCCAGGAAGTTCATAGACTCGGATTTTAAAGCCACCTGAGGGCTTTAGAAGCCTTATTTCCCATTAACTTTCATAAGAACGGCATCCAGATATCCTGGGAAAATCTCAGCCCGTATTGTATTTGAGGCTGAAAAAGGCTTCAGTAAGAATCAGCCTCACCTCATTGTCAGCGTTAAGATCTGTGTGGTGCATGAGTTAAAGGTCAAATATGTATAAACGTTATTGTGGCATATTATTTAGTAGACTGATATGATTCTCTTGGAGATTTCTTTTGCATCACACAGGGCCTGATCCAAAGGCCACGGAGGAAGTCTTTCCATTGGCTGACTGGACTTTGGATCAGGCCCATATTTATGCACTTGTATTTGAATTTGGAAGTACAATGTTGCAATAGAACTGTGGCAGCAACTTTTCTAACTGTCCCAGGGCCCATCACACAGACATTAGGAAGCTGAGGGATCAGCATTTCAGGCAGTCCCCTGGGAAGTCCCAGTCAGTGTTTTGGTTGAGGGTTGGAGCCCAACCACTATTCCTGGGGCACTGTCAGAGCAGAGCCATCTAAAGACATGTTTAAGTCATTACTTACGATTATTATTTTTTTTTTTGAATGAAGGAGTGGGATCCATTTAGGGGTTGTGGGGAACTCACCATTTGCAGGCTCCGGGGCTTGAGGAAGCCAGTTGGGAGGGATAGCATGGCCTCTTTCCAATGTGTATAGCTGGTGGAGTGGGCAGACAGTTCAGGAGGGCAAGAGGCATCTGCAGTGGGATTGTGATGCTATGTAATGACATTCTCATGGCTCTGCAGTGACATTTTGCAAAAAAACAGTTTCTTTACATACAGAGCAACTTGTTTTCTAAAGGGCAGTAGTCTAGGGTCTTCCATCTCCCCTTCCAAAAAACCCCCACCAACCTACTAGAAGAGATTACAACAATTTAACTACCTTATGGGCTCATTTTTTGACGTTTGTTTCTTTTTTTATACTGAAACTATTTTTGAGTTATACCTGGGCAAAAAAGCGTCTGATACAAGCCAGCTTTTACACTTCTGATCATTATTATAAAGAAGAATAAAACAATATAACAAATATGATATTTTCCACCATTTATGCTGTTTATTTTGTGCACTTGACCTGCTTAGACTGTGAAACCAGACCAGGTTGTATATAACCAGTTTTACTTTATGGTCAGAGTTCATTTCACTTTGGGATTTCATACACAAGCACAGTTTACTTATAGGTATTTCTGTGGTGTTCATTATTAATGTATCTACATAAGAATGGCCATACTGGGTCAAACCAAAGGTCCATCTAGCCCAGTATCCTGTCTTCCGACAGTGACCAATGCCAGGTGCCCCAGAGGGGATGAACAGAACAGGTAATCACCAAGTGATCCATCCCCTGTCACCCATTCCCAGCTTCTGGCAAACAGAGGCTAGGAACACCATCCCTGCCCATCCTGGCTAATAGCCATTGATAGACCTATCCTCAATGAACTTCTTTTTTGAGCCCTGTTATAATTTTGGCTTTCACAACATCCTCTGGCAAGGAGTTCCACAGGTTGACTGTGCGTTATGGGAAAGAATACTTCCTTTTGTTTGTTTTAAACCCGCTGCCTATTAATTTCATTTGGTGACCCCTAGTTCTTGTGTTATGAGAAGGAGTAAATAACACTTCCTTATTTACTTTCTCCACACCAGTCATGATTTTATAGACCTCGATCATATCCCTCCCAGTCGTCTCTTTTCCAAGCTGAAAAGTCCCAGTCTTATTAATCTTTCCTCATATGGCAACCGTTCCGTGCCCCTAATAATTTTTGTTGCCCTTTTGTGAACCTTTTCCAATTTCAGTATAAGCCCAGATCAAATCTGAAGCCCAGATACTCAAAAGTATTTAATCACCTAACTCTCACTGATTTCAATGGGAGCTAAATGCCTAAATAGCTTTTAGGATCCAGGCCTGAGTATTTATACAGTTGCTTTGGACTTTGGATCACTGGAGAGGAATTTTTAAATTGCTACAAATTATTGTAATTGATTTTTTTTTCACTTTGAGTGAAATTCACCTCTAGGCAGAAGGCCTGTCCACCATTTAATTCCTCAAATTAGGGCTGAATTGAAAAGTAAACAGTGCACAGATCTCTCTTTGGGCCCTGTGTATAGGATTAATTTCACTGATTACATTTTGGGTCATTCTCCAAAACCTAAACTTCTCTTCTGATATTGTCCCTTAAATCTTTCCATCATGGAAATCAAGATTACAGTACAGAAACACACGTGGCTATGAGGGTAAGCCATGTCACTTCCCTCCAAATGTTTTTTTTTTCCTCGCAGAGTTCTGTATAGCACAGGAGGAAACAGTTGAAGCGGGATGCAGCAGTACATCACCATGGAACATCTCTGTACAATGATATTATCATCTTGCAACATGGTCATCGCATATTGGATGATAGCTCATTATTGAAAAAATGTCTCCCCATAAGAAACAGTCTAGGGGCTTTCAACTAGGAATTTTCTGACACCCCCTACTGCAACAATTGCTATTTCTGAACTAATTCTCTCACACTGGGCCTCTGCATTTCAATGGGGACCCAGATAAAAATATTTCTCTTTCCCTGGGGGAGGCATTACAAGGCACTGTTGAGGCTTTTACGCCTCATTCCCTGGTAAGTGAATTTTAGCATGTGCTGTGTAGTTAATTTTAGAAAAGGTAATGTCTATTATATGTAGTTAATATTTTGTAGCAAATACTCTCCCAAATAACTTTGTGTGTATGTTAATTATGTAGTGCTAATGTAGGACTATGCTGTGTAGATTTGAAATGTATGTAAATAGAGAATCGACGCTACATGAGAAGATGCCCGCAATTATAAATATTGGGCCTGCTTCTGCCACCCTTATTTACCTTCAATTGTACCTATCTGTGTGGGTAGCCCATTGGCTATTAAACATCAAGACTGCTTATGTACATCATACACAGTTATGAGTAAGGCGTGTAGAATCTGGGACATTATGAACTATTAGCAATAGAGTAGTCTCTTTTCTTGATTTGTTTTTTTTTTCAATTATTTTTCTTTTAAACAGGCCAACTGGATCTAGAGAAAAGGAGAATAAATGTCTGTACTTAGGCTTTCTCATTGTGGGGGAAATTGTGCCTCAGGAAGACAAACTGAATCACCAGGCGTGGAGCCTGTATTCTGAAGTGTAGGACAGTACTCCTAAATAAAGGTAAAGTTGCTGTCTTTTTATTTTATTAATAGTAATAATACTTACAATTTATAGAACTAGCTTAGGGCCTGATCCTACAAACACTTATGCATGTGCATAACCTTACCCTCTGAGTTAGGTAAGACTACATATGTGATAAGACTTGTGTGTGTAAGTTGTTGCAGGCATTGGTCCTTATGTGGAATTTATATTTTCATAACTGTCCTTTAAATACCGCTGTTGAGCTCATGGCCCCGTGAAGTCAATGGAAGATTTGCTGTTTACTTCAATGGAACCTGGATTTCACCCAGTAATTGTTTAAATAATATCAGAAGTATTGATAGGGAAGGCAGATCTGGTTATTGGTTAGGTAATGTGATTTTTCATGAGACTGAACTTTTTAACCTGAATAACATGATTTTTTTTTTTCCAGAGAGAAGAGGATCCAGAGCCATTTTCCTTTAAACATTACTTTAAAAAAAACACAAAAAATTAGTTACTTTTCTTAAAATAAAATACTTTGGTTACATGCTTTATTGCGCATTTATTCCTGAGTTATGTACCTAGTGTGAATGATGCATGCCTGTGGCAGTTTGATTGCATGTATTTAGATACTGTGATATATTGTGGATGCACTGTGTGTGGCATGGTATTCTACTGCATTATGGTAGACCTATCAGTGTATGATAGTGTTCTGTACTAGCTGAGCTCATGAAGCTTCTCATCTGGCTTATCTAGCAGAAGCCTGTGTTTCAGTGTTACCTATTCATATGTGTAAATCTGGATTGTGACTAATGTCTGTTTAAAGCACGGGATCTTTATATGTTCCCTGAAGCCTAAGGGAATTGTATTGTGGAATACATTTCTGTAGCATTGCCTAAGAAGGGCTTGATTCTGCAAGGTGCTAAGCAATCTGTGGAGGTGCTGAGTGCCTTCAGCTCTCTCTGACTTCAGCACGTTGCAGATTTAAGCCCCATGGCCCTGATTCATCAAGGCTTTCATGCATAATGCTAAGCATGTGAGTAGTCCCATGGACTTTCATGAATGTGTGTAACTATGTTGTTAAATTGTACACTAAAAGAGCTATTTGTACAAGTGCCGCCTGGCTTTGTCTAGACTAGCATGGATAACAACTTTTAGCTGACTTTCTCATTTTTAAATTGTTTATTCTTGGTCACTCTATTCCTTTTTGCATTTTTCTATTTCTACTTATTGAATTGTTTGATCCCTTCCCCATTGTTGAATCCTTGCTGAAGGACGTGAATTCATACAAGTTACAGGGTAACTTCCAAAAACGTGAGCATAAATGGGGTGTAAATCTTTCATTAGTAGGGTCCTGAGTCTGCTTTTGTTGAGCGCACTACATTTAGTTGGGGTGTAAATCAGGTGTAAAAGGCTATTTGTTCTTTTATGCAGACAGTGATAAATTATTACTAAATTCCTTTTTTCTTTTAAATATCTACTAAAATCACAATCAATACATTTTCCATACTTATTAAAAATACCTTTGAGTATTGCTTATTATAATCTCTTAGAAGCTTGAAACTGAACCATATTTCCTTACATAATACCTTTTTCCTTTGTGCTCCATACACGATAGGCCCCAGTTCAGCACGGTGCTCAACCATTCCTAACACTAAGCAAGTCCATTTGAATGCAGTCGAGCAACTCATGGCTTAAAGTTAGGCACATGTTTAAGCACCTTGCTGAATCTGGACCTAAGGCCACATTCCTTCAGAGTGATACACAGTAACTTCATGTACTGTGAGTAATCCCATTGGCTTCAAAGGGATTGTCCAGTGCATAAAGTTAACCCCTTGCTTACTCCTGCACGCTCGTTATGGCAGCATGTAGAGTACATGCACTTCCCACCTCCCTAGTATGGGTATAAATAGCAGTGTAGGTGGTGAGGCAGTGCTTAGGTGAGCAGAGTAAAGACATGCCTGAATCCGTAGGGTGTGTACCCCATGCAGCTCTCTGCATGCCCAAGCAGTGCCTCCTCCATCTACACTGTTATTTTTAGCAGTGTAATGTTCCTCTGCTGGAGTCTTTCCCCATCACAGGGAAAGGCTCCCACAACGAGGAAAGACTCGGGCAGCTCCCTGTGGTGGGGACAGGCTCTGGCAGCGGAAAGCTGCCAGAGCCTTTCATTGCTGCATGTAGGTACACACCGCAATGTGGATGCAGCCTCTTTTTCACTGCAGTGCGTAGCAACACATACTCTACACGCTGCCACCATTGGTGGAGTACCCTAAGTCTTTTCAGGAGTGGGGCTTGATTTGTTTACTGTGTCGTTGTCCATGAATGTTTAGATGCCAATATTCATTATATTAGGTTTTAAAAAAAGAAATGGCTTGTTTATTTGAGGTGAAATTCACTCTTTTTGAAGAAAACCTTGTAAAAACTGCATGAACTTCGCAAGTTGCTACAAAAGCAAAGAAAGATGAGCTCCTACCAGTCTTGACAGTGTCTTCTCAATATACTGTAGACCGGGTTACTTTTTATTACATATGTAATACTGAGCACTAGCTGTGAAAGTTCCATCAATACTCTTTCCAAGCATTGGGTTGTTAACTCCTGGGCTTTGAGCCGAACTCCAACTTGGGTGATTATATTCTTGTTACCTAAAGTTTTAAAGAAAGTTGTTGTCGTTCCCTTCCTCTCCTAAAGTCTGTTGTGTAGTGTTGCTAGTGCAAATGGCTACATGTCAGTGGTGGGGTGAAGCGATTCCTGTATAAATAGGAGCCAGACCCTGCCATCAGTGGGAGTTCTGCAATGGGGAATGATTGCAGGATATAGTTTAGAGTTTGTAAAGTACTGAGGGATCTTCCAAGATTAAAGTTGCTATTTGTGTATATCGTAGAGGCAGGATTTATTATTTACAAAAGATCAAATATAAGATTTTTTTTCTTGCTTACCACTTCTAGCCTGACAACTATAGCTTAAGCTGTCAAGAATTTATAATTCTTAAGTGATGTAGCATAACGAATAGTATTACATAGTCCTGTATGTACATATATCAACACAAAGTTCTGCGTTGATTATCTTAATTTGGCTGAAAAATTCAGTAAGAGCTGACCAAATCTTGCTTACTTTATTGGTGCAAATTGTCTCATGGACTTCAAGAGTTACTTATGAGTAAATTGAGCAGGATTTGACCCATTATTTGCATATGAGAGTTGAATTGGACAAAGGCGGAGTTGCTGTAAATGTGGTCAAAATACAGAAGAATTTAAAGTTATATGGATATTTTTGTTACGAAATATCAGAAGAAAAGGACACTGAATCTTAGCAGATAGCAGACAATACAATGTATTAAAATAAAGAATTGCAGTAAGATCACTTACAATGGTACTTGCACAGTGTTATTTATTCTATCAACAATTGTCCTAAAGGAACACTACAGTGACAAGGGAGTTTTGTGGGTGTAATCAAAACAGAATTTAGCCCTAGATTTTCAAAGTGGTTTTCCTTTAGAACAGTTATGTTGAACATCAACTGCTGGCATTTCAATCAATGAAGTTGTCTTATCCAATTATATAAGCTTAGCAGGCTCGGTCCATGCCTAGATGGGAGACCATCCCATACCACTCCCCAAAAAAACCAGATGCCTCTTTCCCCATCCCACCCAAAAAAACCCACTCCCACCAGAATACAGGTGCTACAGGAAAATGTGTGGGATCAAGTATATATGGAAGTAGCATTTTTCCATTTGTGCCAGCTCTGAATTAGTGCCCTATCAATGGTGATAGGTAGGTGCTGTCTTTTGGATGAGACTTACTCTCAAATAAATTGGTTAGTCTCTAAGGTGCCACAAGTACTCCTTTTCTTTTTGCGAATACAGACTAACACGGCTGTTACTCTGAAACCTATCAAAGTTCTGACCACCCTCAGTCATTAAAGATCCCATGACACTTTTTGCCAGTGTAGCAGTGTGTTGCCTCTGGTGTCCTGACCATATTTCAGTTGGTTCAGCATCTTTCTTCGCTGTCTTTCCTAAACAGTTGTATAGTATTGTTGTATGCAGTTAAGTAGCCACTGTGTTTTATCCCAGAGGAGCTGCATTTCAGTGGTGGTAGAAGTGACTACCTGAAAAGCAGCGGTGTAGTGGTAAAAAAAAGAATTGGATAAACTAACTTAAACTAAACTCCATATTCACCAAATGAGAAGTGAGTAAACTATTTACCTGTGCTTATACTTGACTATACTACTGGTGAAACGGGAATTTTTTTAAAGTGGTTTGGGAACTTTCACGATGGAAGTTGATATATACATGTAAGAAGATTATTGTTATTACAAAGTTAAAACCCAATAACCTAGGTTTGTATGTATCTGATGTCAGTGTTGGAGCTGGGATTTTAACACTCTTGCTGTTCTTTTTTGTAGGCCAATGCTTTTTACCTACCCAGAAAGCACTTTAAAACAGAAAATGTAAAAATATCTGAGCCTGGGCAGTTTCAGCAGGCACACAAAGCAGCCTATTCCCTCTCCCTTGTGCAAGCCCAGTCCTCGTGTCTGAAATGATAGCCAGATCAGTGTAAGAACTGACTGGGGTTGACTCGAACCATCCTCTTCATATCACATTGTGATCTAGACACACATTACCATTGGCTTTGTAATTATTGAGGTTATTATAGGGTCCTGATTTATCTGTTATCTCTGATTTACACCTGTTTCAGTGAGAGAACAGTCAGGCCCATAGGATACATATCGTATCATGGTATGATTACATATGTCTATTTAGGTTAAACATGGTCAATCAATACTAATTTTCTAAGTCGGTATAGTATGTTGAGCCGAATTCACTCCTAAAGTAACTTCATTGAAATCAGTGGCATTACACTGGGGTTGAGTTTGACTCATACGTTGTAGAAAATACATTTGCAGGAACATCTCATTCAGTAGGTTGTATACATAGGTTATTTCTTGCTAAAAATGTACCCAGAGAGGATGAAATGCTGGCTCTATTGTAGTCAATGGCAAAATTCCCACTTGGATTTCACCCTGAGTGGCTGTTGTGCCTCATTATTTAAACACTGCATCACTATTCATAGCAAGCCTGTCAAAGTAATAAATATGTAAAACAATACATTAGCCTAAATAAATAGCATCAATAAACAAAACACCAGTTAAAAATAGTACAGTGTGCTCAATAACTGTAATGAACTACAAAACTCCCACTTCACACCATACAGTGAGAGCAGCTGAAAAACAGATATTTCACAGTGGAAGAGCTAGCGAATTTCCACAAGGAGAACTTTGACTTTCTTTTCTCGACAGGAGAAACTCGTATTTGAAGTCATCTCTAATAAATGAGACTCTGTGGGTCAAACATCGTAGTGCAACTCTTCAGATTTTTATCTCTGACCAATGTGAATGAAATGGTTGCAGAGTAAGAACTCCTATACATGATCTATAGAGATGTGCTCCTGTAGAGTACTTTATGCCTGATCCAATGCCCACTGAAGTCAATGAAAAGACTCCAGAGAGCCCAATTAGGTTGGATTGAGCCCAATTAGATGTTGATCTGTCATGACTCTTGAAATACATAGAAATGTCATTATGGTCAGTCCCCCTCTCTTTTTCTCTACATTCTCCCCTATGTGCTATACATAGTTGTACAGTTTGTATATTTAAACGATTATATCAGAGTATACCACTCCTTGTGCCAAGTTTGAGATATGTGCCCAATCCATGGTGCGTGCACATAAATAATGCTAAGTATATGACCTTTAATTGAGATTGTTTTTATTGCATTGCAATTCTGTGTTGAAATATTGCAATAGTTAATTGTGGGGCCTCAGTGGAAAAACAAAAACAAAAAAACAGTGTTCCTGATTTATTTCATAACACCAGCTGGTGCATGGATCCGGAATAAATGCAATTGGTTTGTGTGAGCAGTTGTATACAGTCTTGACTGCATGTTTCTGGTACAGTACGTACTGTGACCTATGAGAAATAGTCACATACTTTGCCACAGGATAAATTGTTTTTCTCTGAAACTTAACTTGGAGCTGACAGGTGTGGCTTAGCGAGTGGAAGATCTTTTCATATATTTCTGGATATAAGAAACTGCATTCAGTGTCTGTGCTACTTTTTTTCACTGAAACTTTTCTTCCATAGGAACCTACTGGATCTCTAGGGAAACCTTAGTAGTAAGGTAGTAACAGTAACCAACCCCTTGATGGCAGGAGTTGGAATTTCTCGGCACGTATCTCCCATGATCGGTAATGGGATGTGATGTGATTGCCGAAAACCAGGGAGCCAATGAGCATTTTCCTAGTAGAAATAGGTGGTAGACACTACAGCTGGGATTTTGTTCTAATTGCTGGAATTTGGGGATCGTGCAACCAGAAAAGATACTTGAGTAAAGAGACTCTGGAAATACACTTAAAAATGAGTCGAAATGAGAAGTCGAGTAACATTAACATACTCTTCTTAAACTGCCCTCTCTGAAAGATTGGAACTGAATCATTTTGAGGTATTGTCTTTCTTTCTGTTGTAAAGGTACTTAATTATCACTAATTAGGCTTATCAAATTAATTGACTTTGTATTGTTTAGTAGCATTTATTGTAACTATTCCACCCAGATTAGTTGTACTTTAGAAACTAATCTTTATTGCAGTGCATTGCTTCAAAAAAAAAACCCCCACAACCCCCCACCCCACACACAAAACACCTAAAAACTAATCCTGATACTGGGTCTTGTAACCAAATCAGTGTATGTGCATGTGCCTTTTGATCCTTCCACAGCACAAGAGAATTGTTCGATTTCCCTTGCAAGGCTCAGTAAATTTGGCAGGTGGGGGGTCTTTTATTTTCTTTTTTTTTTTTTTTGCTTACTGCTGCAGCAAAGATTAGAGGTTCTTTGCGCATGTGATTTATGGGGAAGGGTTTAAACACTGTAGATGGAATCGTTAGTCATTGCTACCAAATGAAACAACTCTCAAGGAGTGTTACAATTTTTAAAGTCCCAGCAGCCTTAACTGACCCTTAAAAACCGTTTAATCCTGTTGCTTCCAGATTGAGTCCAGGTTGTGTGTTCATAATGGAAACAAACTTGATGTTCTTGGCACATTCAGTGTTCAAGAAGAAAAATATTTATTTAACATGGGTCTCATTTGGCATCTGCTTCTTGTAATGCCTGTCAAACACTATAAAAATTTACTCCATATCCAGTACTCTCTAGAGACATATCATTGAGCTAACATGGATATAGTACATGCTTTCTCCCCTAAGAGCTTGTCTAGGTCAAGGTCATTATTGTGTCATTGTGAGTAACTAACAGTATTCCAACTTTCACTAGACTGTATAGAATATTTTATTGCTAGTCTTGCAAAATCTTTAATAGTAAATATCTGAAGGTAAAACTAAATATTTACAGTGCTAAATACACTGTTAACTGGACAGATTCTCTATTGGCGTATCTCCATTGAAATCAAAGAAGATACACTTGAGATGAAGTTGACCCAGTATTTAGATGTTATTAAGTTTAAATTTTCTCTGTCATGTTCAGTACAGTAGTCCTTGTTACTGTGAGTTTGCACAGGATTAGATTCATTGACTTCAACTACAACTAATTTGGCTTTATTAATGAAAAAATATTTCACTAAGGTGAGTTATATATTATGCTTATTTCTATAGGGAAGCCATGTGATTTTGATACAACAGTCTCAGCTACTGTACAGTGGTTAAGGATATCCCATTCATTAGCTGTCCAGAGTTCAGTGTGGAGTTCTACTTTGGAAGGGGTAGCCAACGCAATTTATAAAACTTTTATTTTTAACAGTTCCAGTTCAGGTTTATTAAAGCTCTTCAAGCGGATAGTTTTGCCTGGGGTGTATGCAGAACGGGTTGTAACTATCTAATATTAAATCTTTGTGGTCTTGATGGTCATGTAAAGAAACAGTAAAAGAAAATTGATATAATTTGAAATATTTATTTTACAGAGCTCCTTTTGTAGGTTAAATGCACAGCAGTGACTTTTCTCTCTGTTATACAGAGGAGCCAATATACTGTTACACACCCCACAACTTCACCCGTGACCAAGCCTTGTATGCCAGAGGATATTGTTGGACAGAACTAAAAGATGCCTTGCCAGGAGTTGATGCCAGCCATTGGCCCTCCTTGTTTGAGCATAAGTTCCTTCCTTATGCACTGCTGGCTTTTGCTGGCATAATGTACATTCCAGCTCTTGGCTGGGAGTTTCTAGCCTCCACCAGACTGACTTCTGAGCTTAATTTTTTGCTTCAGGAGATCGATAACTGCTACCACCGTGCAGCAGAAGGGCGTGCACCAAAAATAGAAAAACAAATACAATCCAAAGGCCCTGGGATCACAGAAAGGGAGAAAAGGGAAATCATTGAGAATGCAGAAAAGGAAAAAAGCCCTGAGCAGAATTTGTTTGAAAAATACCTGGAAAGAAGAGGGCGAAGTAACTTTTTGGCTAAACTTTATCTTGCGAGACATTTATTTATCATATTTTTAAGCATTATACCAATTACATACTTATCCACCTACTATGCTACGCAGAAGCAAAATGAGTTTACATGTGCACTAGGAGAGCCTCCTGACAAAACGAGCAGCTCCAAATTGCACATCAGGGTGAACTGCAAGCTTCCAGCTGTCCAGCTGCAACGGATAATTGCTGGAGTAGACATTGTCCTCCTCTGCTTTATGAACTTGATCATTCTCATCAACTTAGTTCACCTTTTCATATTCCGCAAGTCCAACTTCATATTTGATAAACTGAACAAGGTTGGAATAAAGACCAAGAAACAGTGGCAAAAGTCTCAGTTTTGTGACATCAATATTCTGGCTATGTTTTGCAATGAAAATCGAGACCACATAAAATCCCTGAACCGCTTGGATTTTATAACAAATGAAAGTGATCTGATGTATGATAATGTGGTGCGCCAGTTGCTTGCAGCACTGGCCCAGTCTAATCATGACGTCACACCCACCATGCGCGATTCAGGGATTCAGACTGTAGACCCCAGTGTCGATCCAGCAGACATCGATGCCAATGAACAGCTCATCATCAAGAGACCTAGGAAGAAGATGAAATGGATCCCAAGTAGCAATCCACTTCCTCAGCCATTCAAAGAGCAGTTAGCTATTATGAAGGTTGAAAACCACAAACCTGAAAAGCCGAAGCCAGTGCGCAGGAAAACAGCAACCGATAGCCTCGTCGCTCCTCTGATAGAGTCCACTTCAAAAACCTCACAGCAATCATCATCTCATAAAACTGAGTCAAACACCATCTCCGGCACAGGCAATGAAAAAAAACATACACGGCACTTTTCTCTGGATGTTCAACCATATATACTTAGCAGTAAAAAACCCAAGCCAGAGATTCAAGCCATTGCCTCAATGCCTACATCCAAAAGCCAAGAGGGTGGATTTTTAAACCAAGAGGAGAATGTCGTAGTTCATGTCACCTCTTCTCTCAAAGGTACAGTATGTCATTGCAATACCATCTCAACAGTGATAAACTGAATGGCCAGAATTTGGAGTAGCTGTCTGCTCTAGGTTGAACTCAGAGGTGACCTGATCTGTTTGCTCTATCTTGTTAAATTTCTAATCAGCTAATAATATAAGGGTAGGTAGCCTTCTTAAATGGGTTAGATCAGGGATCTCAAACTAGAATCTCCACAAGGGCCACATGAGGACTAGTACATTGGCCCGAGGGCCGCATCACTGCCCACCCCCCCATGCTGTCCCCGTCCCCGCCCCCACTTCACCCCTTCCATGAGGCCCTGCCCCACCTCTTCCCACCCCTTCCCTGCCCCCATTCCAGCCCCTTCCCCAAATCCCCGCCCCTGCCCCTCCTCTTCTCCACCTCCTCCCCTGAGCATGTGGCTCCCCGCTCCTCCCCTCTCCCCCCTGGAAAGCCCTAAGCGCTGCCAGACAGTTGTTTGGCAGCAGGAAGAGCCTGCAGGTAAGCAGAGGAGTGGGGACACGGCGCGCTGCGGGGAGAGGGAGAGGGGAGCCTGACGGGCCGCAGGAAATAACTCTGGGGGCGCGGGGAGCTTGGCGGGCCACAGGAAATAACCCCACTGGCCATGTCTTCGAGACCCCTGGGTTAGGTAGAATTTCACCGTATAGGTCTGTGATAAGGAGTAGTAGAGCTGTGGCAAGGCAGAGCTATGTAACATGTCCTTCTGCTTTGCAGATATTTTATGTTGTATTAGTAGATTTTTACACGTAATTTTGCATTTGGCCTTATGCAAAATGTCAGCACTTTTGCCAGGAAAAGAAGTGAGAGTTGGCTCCCAGGATACTCCACCCTTTCCTATGTCTCAGTTCTACTTCATCGTAAGGAACGTCACTCATTTTCCAGTAACACAGGAACTGCCATGCTAGATCAAACCTGTGTTCCATCTAGTCCAGTATCCCATGTATGACAGAGGCCAGTGCCAGCTACTGAGGAAGGTGTACGAAACTGTGCAGAAGGCAGTTACGGAATAGTCTGCCCAGAGGAAAGTTTCTTCATACTCCCCTTTTGTTAGAGGCTGGCTTATGCCCTGAATCTTGACGATTTGAAAACTCAGATTATTGCTGGGTTGTAGTCCTTAATACAAATTTAAATTTCCCTTTGTCCTACTTGGCTTTAAGGAAGGCTGGTCTGTGTGGAAGGTACCCCCTGGGGCTCAGGTTCATTTCTCAGTTTGGCCACAGACTTCTGTGCGTTCTTGGACAAGTCATAGTTCCCCACCTGTCTGATGCGGATAATAGTACTTCCCTACCTCAGAGCGACTCTGTGGGTGCTTACCACCCACAGTGCTACTGATCAGCTGTTTGGGGGAGGTGTTTTGGGGAGGGTGGAGAGCAGCGGGCGGGAGGAGCAGAGCATGGGCGGGGCCTTGGGGAAAGGAGAGGATTGCAGGCGGGGTCTTGGGGCAGAGCGGGGGTGTGGCACCCTTGGGGAAAAATAAAAGTGAGTGCCTATGCTCAGAGGGGTGTTGCGAAGACAAATATTTCAAGTGATCGTGAGGAGCGGAGATGCTATGGTGATGGGCGCCATAACTAGATATCTACTTGTTTTATTACTGTAAGTGACCGATATAAAAGATGAAATATGCAGTTGGAGTTATAGAAAACTTTGTGTTAAAGATATGGCTCTCAGTTCCTTATAAGAGAAGACCCCCCCCCATTCTGGACCTCAGCAGACAGACAGCTACTGTGTCCTCCCTGCCCAGCAGAAAAGTGATTTGAGGTCTAAAAATTTCTGTCACTTCCAAATCCTTATGTTCCTTTCTGGAGTCCTCAAACTCCCCAATATACACATGCAGGACTTCCTACAGCATTCTTAATCCAGTAGCCTGTTCTGACTCCCAGCTCCCGGAAGCCACCAGGGGTTTCTGGTCTCGATTATTTTTACTTAAACAAGTGTTTGGATATTTTAAGTTGTGAGTTCAAAATAATTATAACAGCTGCTTTTATGCCCACCTTAAACCCCACCCAAGAATGCTTTTGAGTGAGCAAGTTCTGGAAAGAAATATTTATTGATTACACATTGTTTACACATTTAGAATAGTGGCTTATGGTGTGTGTCCCTTCTTTTTTTCCCATTGAAAATATAATCAGTATTTTTATATTTCAACTTGCGTATTTAGGCATCCCTAACATTTGTTGAAACATTAAATCACAACATTCGCAAAGCACTGGCTAGAATCTATGGAGGAAATAGTAAAACATTCCTAAATCCTTTTAAATTGACTTTTTGTTCATTTAATGAGGATGATTTCACATAGGCAATGCTTAGAAATGTAGCTTTGAGTGATATTTACAAAACTTGTTAGTCACACTGTAATGTGCTTCTAGGACTAGAATTTTCAAAAGTCAAAGCTCTTATGAAGAAGTAGTCTTAGATTTTTCAGAGTCCATTAAAACTTGTTTATTGGGCCCAATTCTACTCCTATTGAAATCAGTGGCAAAACTCCCATTGAATTCTATGGGATCAGCTATGTGGCGGATTGGTAGGGAAAAATAGACTACCCAGTGATTTACTCTGTATTCTGTTTTCTTTCAGTCATCCCAAATCATGAGAAAGAGATTCTGTACTCATCTGAGACATGCAGAACTGTCCCTGCTGCTGGGGCTTACCTCTCATGTAATCACAATCATACAGCAACAACTGCTGCTGCAACAAATATAACCCTGAGCCACATCAAACCAGAGCCAACAGCTGCACTGAATCGTAATCCCACTCACCCTCTGCTGAACGTCAATACACTGTATGAAGATCACGAGGAAGAGGTTTCCAACCTTATAGACAACAGTATTCATTCACCAACTGATGCAGGGGAAATACTCTCCCTACCTACCCCAAAGCATATAATGATGGCAACATTTGAAGAACCAAGGGCAATAGTGAGTTCTGTGGAGTACTAAAGATATAGTGCTGCATGGATAGAACCTGGTGGTCAGGTCCAGTACTCCTGTAATGGAACCCTCAACAATGCAATTCACTGCATGAGCATGGAGAGTTTTAATACAGACCATAGGCTTTGGTAATACTACAAATTGATTTTTCAGGATAGCATCATCACCACTGTCACTAGTTTGCAAAATAGAATAATAAAAAAAAAAATTGGATGAAAGTATGCCTTTACCTCCAAGAGTATCCAAGCACAAAAAGTTAGCTGTAGCTTCATCAATTAAATATGGATCGATACAATTTTTGAAACGCTAAAAGAGTTTGATGGCATGTCACAGTGATTTTTACAGCGCACTTATATCTTTGTATTTACAATGGCTAATTAAAGTTAAATAGATATTGGTGAGGTGTATCTTCTATTTTAATGGCAGGAGTTAAATAAGAGTTTAATAATAAGGAAAATATATTTTTTTCTCCATGGACTTTATGAAAAAGACATATGCAAGAAACATTTTTTTTGTTTTTGTTTCTTTGGCTCACTAGTGTTGGACTTGATGGACATTTAGGATAAGGGCTTACTAACACCAGCATATAGTGCAAAAAGGATTGAAATGCTTCAGTCTGTTGAATTTGTGGGTGAGAGGTATGCCCTGCCCTTTAACAAGCTTATATGTCAATGGAAGATGATGAAATGAAGAGTTTATTTTCTTAAATATATTTTACCATTGAAAAATTACTTTAATAGCTTTTCAAATCAGGTTTTGCTTTTATCAAAATGGAGAGAAGAGGGTCATTCTAGCAGCTTATTTTTGCATAGTCTATTTATGAACCAAGTTAGAAACTTTCACAGGTGCTTCACTAACATGAAAAAATCCTACAATGGTGATGCAGTGTAAAACCAGCAATGTTTTCAAACAATGCAGAGTTAAAGAGGATTGTTAATTTATGTTTGCAGTCTCTTCTGGACTCTGATCCAGCAAAGCACTTAAGCACATGCTTAACTAAGCAAGTGAGTAGTCCCACTGAAGTCACTTGAGAATACGCACATGCTTAAAGTTAAGCACATGCTTAAGTGGTTTTTCTGGATCTGGGCCATAATGTATACGGACAATAATCCTGCAGCATGTGCTGTCATTCTGATTCAAAGTCTGTCTTCCTTAGCCCAAAATACATCCTCATGCCCATTCATCCTATAACTTGGACATGTGTGATTTTATGAGAAAATTCTAACATAAGTAAAAAATGTACTAAAAATGTATCATGCAATAATCATTCTCCTCAAAAGTATAGTCAGACAAGAAGAGACTATATTAAAATGATATTCACAGCTGCATTCAAAATTATGAACTACTGTGTTTGCTTCAAAATTCTGTATGATGGTAGAAAAATTAGAGAGCACAAGTATGGGACTGAAATATTGAATATATTTTTAATTTATATTACCTCAGACATGGATATATGATACCAGTATTTAATGAACTATAGCACTGAATATAAATAAACATTATTCTGAATATCTTTAATGTGTAGTGTTTTATAGCTAAATGACCCACCTCTACCACAAAATGAGAAAAAAGTTAAACTGGATACAATTGGATAGGGGATATAAATTAGCCATTCCCTGTGTTTTAGTAAACCTATTAAATATGGTTTTGATGTGGATGTCCCCATTCCACCTTGCACATTTGACATTTCTGACTTGATGGCTGAGAAGGTGGTTTGCAGTTTTTAAATAATAAAAGTCCAGTTGCATATTTTGGACCTTTATTCTGAACCACTTGTCTAGGTAAAACTTGCTGCAATAGAAAGTTTTACCTGTACAGAAACTGCAGGAATGGGGACTTAATTGGGGACTACTTCAAAGCTGGTTCTTCACTCTGTCTGCTGAGTAGCTGCATTCTGTTCACATTCAGCTGAAATCAGTGGCACATCAGGACTTTGCTGGTAAGTACAAATGCACTGCTTTGCTATATTCATCTGCATTGCAGGCACATTCTGCTGGATGTATGCAATACAGTGGGTAGCAGTTAAAGGGAATATTTTTCAGCCAAACGAAAATCTTTATAGTTTCGCTGGGTCTTGCATGCCAGTAAAGAATTTGAGAAATTATGGAACATTGTCTCAAAAGATCCAGAATTTGTTAATGAACACAGAATCAAAGAATGCATCATGGGCCAAATTTACAACCAGTTTAAGGAGATCATTGCAGTCACTCAAGTTGCAACTACTTAACCAGCAAAATGAATGTTTTCCCATATGTTCACGGGTTAGATGACAGTATTATGCACACATGCAAAATTCTATGATGTGTTGGATTAGTTTGATACCTAATATTGAATGGAATTGCAAACCTGTCAGCCTCTGGTCAAAAGGTGTTTGTATACCATGTCTAAACAAAAATTAAGGGCCTGACCCAACATTCCAGATACACCTGAAAGGGCCAGCAAGTTCACTGAGGATTTTCAGTAGGCAAGGAATGCAGGGTTGGGCTTTTAGTGATTTGTGTGTTCATATTTCATAAAGAGGTTTTTAAAATTAATTTCCCCCCTTGTTATTTGGGAATGGCCATGATCCGCCCATATTGATAGATGTTCCAATTTTCAGAGATATTGACAGGTGTTACTTTTCATCAACTTAGTTTTTGTATTTGCTGGGTTTTGTATGTGCTTGTTGCTTAAGAAAATCTGAAAGTAAAAAGTTCCATCCATGCTCTTGCATAAGAGAAGGTGTTAACTTTCGTACATAACTTGCACATGTGTTTCTATTATGCAGCTTTCAGAAAAGGAGAAGTGGGATTACAGTGCTTCATTGGAAAGAAGGGTGACTCTTGTCAAGAGAGGGGCTTTTTTTTTTTTTTTTTTTGGTGCTTGCTAGCTTCTCAGTTCTCACACTTAAAATAAGACAATCTAACTTGTTTGCAGGACATGTGTACGTAGTCCAGTTTGACCATGATCATTTAAAAAACCCCAAATCACTGAAGGGCCCACATTGTAACAATAGAATATTGCAAAATCCCCATATTATTCAACCATTCTATCCCTTCAGTCTGCATTCGTGCATACCCAAAACTCTGAGATGTCATTGGGTCTGAAAACATATTTTACTAACCTAGGGTCTGCTTCCACTCCCATTGAAGTTATCAAAATTCCTATGAATGTCAATGGGCTAAACAGGTATCTAGTAATCTGCCTGAGAAAGAAGAGGCAGCGATTAGCTATGTTGCCCCAGGAGCAGAACAGAGAATAGTCTCTGGCATAGAATCACAATTCAGATCAGATCATTGCACCATGCGGGAAGTAAGCTGCACCAGCCTTCCTCTTGGTGTGGAAGCTGCTGAATGTATAGACTAGCTCACAAGTGAGACCACTGAGAGCGGGATCCTTTATAACTGCTTTTTAAGGGTCAGATTGTGGCCCAGGCTGTGTTTCACTCCTCCCACGCTCCTGAGCCTGTGGGTGGAGCTCACTTGTTACTTACAGCTGACAGGTTCAAGACAGGGCAGGTAGCAGTTTGGGCCAATAGTAAATTATTACCTCCCTGGAGCAAAGGGAGAACAACCAATGGGCTGTCCCATAAGAGGGCTTGTGGTAACACCAGTCTTGCACTACATGATTTGAAACATGAAAAACATTCACATTTTAAAATTTCCCTTTAAGTATGAATCACATTAGCCTCTGTATTTGCCCAATAATTGGTGGAGTCTCTTCAATTTGCCACACCAGTCTACCAGCATTCTTTAGGGACCTGATTCTGCCAGACTCAAGTCAATGGTGTGTTTGCTATTTAGTGCACTGGGAGCAAGATCAGACCCTGCTTAATGGTATGTCTACACTGCAGTAAAACACCTGTGGCTGGCCTCGATCAGCTGACTTAGGCTTGCAAGGTTATAAAATTGCTGTGTAGATGTTCGGGCTCAGACTGGAGCCCAAGCTCTGGGTACTCTGGATGAAGGGGAAGGTCCCAGAGTCTGGGCTGCAGCCCAAATGTCTGCAATTTTATAGCCCTGTAGCCTGAGCCCAAGTCTGCTAACCCGGGCCAGCCGAGGGTGTTTTATTGCAATGTAGACATACCCTAAAAGAGCACAGAAACCTTTTTTTCCCCCACTTTATACAGAATGGAAATGAGAATTTGGAACAGAAAAGGCAACTGTAGCAGAAGCATCTCGTGCTATTTTTAGTTCCTGTCCCTCCCCTGTTCCCAGCTGGAGGCCAGCACTCTGCATCTGACAGCCAGTTGCAGAGAAGCTTCCATGGGATTTTTTTGTGTGTGCACTAATGTTTTGAAAATTGATGCTGCCAACATTTGGTTGGGCTGATTTTTTTTCCTCACAGTGTAAGTGCATCTCCTATATTCAGCTTTCAGAGTAGCAGCCGTGTTAGTCTATCCGCAAAAAGAAAAGGAGTACTTGTGGCACCTTAGAGACTAACAAATTTATTTGAGCATAAGCTTTTGTGGGCTACAGCTCACTTCATCGGATGCATAGAATGGAACATATAGTAAGATATAGATATATAATATACACATATACATAGACACACACACACACACAGATAAGTTGGAAGTTACAGAATAATGAGATCTGTTTATTTCACACTAGGAGACATTGGGCCCAATTGTACAATTTACTGTGCATCTCGTTAGCTTTCCTGGAATTTGCAGGTGCTCAGCACCTAAGGGGAAGCCACTCAGCTCCTTGCAGAATCAGATCCATTGCTAGTTAGCTTTTCAAATTGTGAATTGAGGGCCAACCCTGGAAACACTATGGAGCACAGTGCACTTGTCATTAACATTTGCAAGATCTCAGGACCTAAGGGCAAAATTCATCCCTACACTGGTAATGTTTGGTGCAGGGACCAGTGACTTTACACCACCTTTGTGCCACCCCTATTCTGTGTTCCCTCTAAGCTGTGCAGTTGGGCGGCTGCCCAGAAGAGAGTCAAGGGCCACACACTTGATGAGCAGAGCCGTGCACATCTGCAGCGTGTGTTCATCTAACCCCTCCCTCCGCTGCTTTGCAGCCACATTGCTCCTGTAGCTGCTTGTGGGACCCTCCTGCTGGCTGTGCAGAGCAGAGGGCTGATGTCAGGGTGTCCCCCTTCCCCCAGCCACTGTACTCCATCTCCACAGAGCAGAGGAGAGGGGACAGGGCTTGGAGCAGCTCTAAGGTCTGAACAAGCCTGGTGAGTGCCCTAAAGAGAGCGCACGGTCTCTAAGAGACTTCCCCAGAAGCTAGCACACATAATTTCTGTCTCTCTTTCTCACGCACACACAGACTCTCTGTCTCTTCCCCTGCCTATATACCCCATCTCCACAGAGTGGGGGAGGAGGAACATGGTTCAGGAGGAGGAGAGCTTTCAGTTAGTGCCTTACACGGCATCTCTCAGAAACTTCCCCAACAATCAACACACACACAGTCTCTGTGTCACACATTGTCTCTGTGTGTGTCTCACACACACACACACACACTCACTGTTTCTCACACAGTCTGTGTCACGCACACATTGTGTCATAGAATCATAGACGTTAAGGTCAGAAGGGACCATTATGATCGTACAGTCTGACCTGCACAACAAAAGGCCACAGAATCTCACTCACCCACTCCTGTAACAAACCCCTAACCTATGTCTGAGCTATTGAAGTCCTCAAATCGTGGCTTAAAGACTTCGAATTGCAGAGAATCCTCCAGCAAGTGACCCGTGCTCCACGCTACAGAGGAAGGTGAAAAACCCCCAGGGCCTCTGCCAATCTGCCCTGGAGGAAAATTCTTTCCTGACCCCAAATATGGTGATCAGCTAAACCCTGAGCATGTGGGCAAGACTCATCAGCCAGACCCCCTGGAAAGAATTCTCTGTAGTAACTCAGATCCCATCCCATCTAACATCCCATCGGGCATATTTACCGCTAATAGTCAAAGATCAATTAATTGCCAAAATTAGGCTATCCCATCATACTATCCCCTACATAAACTTATCAAGCTTAGTCTTGAAGCCAGATATGTCTTTTGCCCCCACTGCTCCCCTTGGAAGGCTGTTCCAGAACTTCACTTCTCTGATGGTTAGAAACCTTCATCTAATTTCTAGTCTAAACTTCCTGATGGCCAGTTTATATCCATTTGTTCTTGTGTCCACATTTGTACTGAGCTTAAATAATTCCTCTCCCTCCCTGGTATTTATCCCTCTGATATATTTAGAGAGAGCAATCATATCTCCCCTCAGCCTTCTTTTGGTTAGGCTATACAAGCCAAGCTCTTTGAGTCTCCTTTCATAAGACAGGTTTTCCATTCCTCGAATCATCCTAGTAGCCCTTCTCTGTATCTGTTTGAGTTTGAATTCATCCTTCTTAAACATGGGAGACCAGAACTGCACACAGTATTCCAGGTGAGGCTCACCAGTGCCTTGTATAACGGTACTAACACCTCATTATCTCTACTGGAAATACCTCTCCTGATGCATCCCAAGACCGCATTAGCTTTTTTCACAGCCACATCACATTGGTGGTTCATAGTCATCCTGTGATCAACCAA